AACTCTAGTTGACTGACTCAAGCTCTTGCATACTTTCGACCATGCTGTAGTGCTTCCCTATGGAGAGCACAACATGACCAAATTGTATGTCAGTTATTATAGTGATTAAAACAGAAATTGAAAGAAATGCAGACAATGATTGGAAATCATCAGTGTTTCTGATTTTATAACAAATCAGCATTTGGAAAATGGAAAGGATTTGACTATTAGAAGTTATGGTATTAGTATGAATGTATAATTATAACCAGGATTTATTATATTGGCTAACATAAGCAGATGATGGATAGGCTGTCTGCTGACTGGAGGCTTGGGGAAATCAGTAACGCATCAGTCCAAGAAGCTGAAGGCCTTGGAATAAGGGGGACAAATGATGCAGCCCCAGTTCTGGCCAAAGGAATTCCCTGCAGAGCCCCCAGAGCAACATCGTGTTCAAAGGCTGAAGAATCTGGAGTTAGGTCTGTAGGTGATGACAGTTGTGCAGAAAATTGAGAATTATGTGTAAGAGCTTCCCCTTCCTTCATTTTTGTTCCATCCAGGCCTCCAGCCGATAGGATGGTGCTGCCCACCTGCAGGGTGAGTCTTCTCCCTCAGTTTCCTGACCAATCGCCTTTGAGGTACCCTTGAAGACACACCCAGAAGTGTGCTTTACCATTTACTTTTCTTTTGGTGGTGCTGGGGATTGAACCCAGGTCCTTGTGTGTGCTACTCAAGCACTCTATCACTAAGCTATATCCTCAGCCCTTGCTTTACCAATTTTCTAGTCATCTTTCAATCCAGTCAAGCAGACAACAAGATAAACCATCAGTTTCTTTAGTGTATTCTCAGCTTTCCTTGTCACATCTGTGTAAATTACATGCAAAGTAGGGCAGTATTAGGAGGTGGTAAATTTGGAAAACATGGATAAAGATTATTTTCATATTCAGAAATAAAGTGCAGACTTTCAAAGGTAGATTCATTTTGAGTCTGTTTTCATCTGCCCCTCCTTTTTAATATAGTAGTTTATGATCACACACAACTTTCAGATTCATTTACTTTTTTTTGTTTTTTGATTGATTGATTACTTTTTAAAATTAGAGCTTAATGGGTATACATAGTAGTTGGATTCATCTGACAAACTCATACATGCATAGAAATCTATTTCAGTTATTCACTTTCAAAGAAATATATTATTGTTCATTAGAGTGGCTTCACTGAACCAAACCTAAGACTAGCCATCTGTGCTCAAGGGCATAATTACTTCTTGCGCTTGCCAGCCATCAGGGTTAATGATTTTCTAAGAGAATCTGACAAAAGGGTATTATGATGGAAAAATAAAGCAGAGCATGGTATATTACACAATATTTGGGCTTTTTCCTCTACTAAGCAATGTATCTAAAGTAAGACAGATCATCCACTTAGAAGGAAGAGAGCAAGAAATGAGTGGATGTGGTGTGATGAGGGTCACAGGTAGACTCTGAGTTGAAGTTTCAGCTCTAACACATGTTATATGGTCTTGCCTTGGGAAAATCATTTAGGTTTTCAAAGTTATCAACTATAAAATAGGGGCAGTAATGTCCTCAACAGAGCTTGGCCCACTGTAATTATTCAATAAACATTACTATTATATTTATTTAACTATATGACCTCAAGTACAGAAAGTTATATTAATTGTATTTTGCAATTTATTGTACATGACTCTGAAGCATCTGTGCAAATGATGTTAAAAAAAGCTCCCGTGTTAATGCAGGAAAGTTCAGAGGTGAAATGATTGAATTATGAGAGCTATAGCCTAATCAGTCCATCTTAGTTTGAATGGACTGACTGGGTGATAACTGTAGGCCAGTGGGATGTGGTTGAAGGAGGTGGATCCCTGGGAGCATGCCCTGGAAGGGTTCCTCTTCTCTGTGACCATTTCCTCACCTACTTACTCTCTCTGCTTCCTCATCCCCACCATGAGCGGAAGAGCTTTTTTCCATTGGGCCCTTCTTCAATGATGTGCTGCCTTGCCTTGGACCTAGAGAAATGAAGTTGGCCATATATGAACAGAGACTCCTGAAACTGAGCTCCAAATAAACTTTTCCTCCTCCAAGTTGTTCTTGTTGAGATTTTTGGTTATATTGATGCAAAAACTGACTGAATCAGCTCTATTGTATTTTGCTTTTCCTTTCACCATCCCATTCAAACTCCTGTTCTTTTATCTTACATAGGTACTCAAAATACTGTAGATATAGTATATTATTGTTATATATTCTTAGATATATGTTTTTACTTGAAAATAATTATATATATCTGTATACATATGTGCCTAAGATTTAAAAAATTACCGTGTAATATTTTGCCATAATATGGATCTCAAGTTTTAAAAACTTTTTATTCATTTATCATAATGTGTTAAATATTGCTAAATGTGTCCCATGGAATAATTCAGGTCATTATTTCTGAATTCCAGTATTCCACTCTTATGTATCTACCCCATTTTTCCTGCCCAGTACCACTTTTGATGAGCACACAGGCTATCTCCAACTACCTGCCAACCCAGATAACTTTTTAATGAACAGCCTATACACATGCCATTATAACCTCAGCACATTTTAAACTAACCCAGAGTAGTTTTAAATAAAGTTCTATATGCATACAGGACTAAAATAATCTAAAAACTAGAAACAGAGAGAAGCTTCCTTAAAATGATAAAAGCTATAAATAAGATATTTACAACAAACTTCAAATAAAATTAAGACATTTCAGAGACAGTCCCATTAAAATCAGGGATTGATTTACATCTATTACAGTAAGCTTCAAAATATCACAGTAACATTTAACATTGTGCAGAATAATTTGACCAATGTGATAAGACAAGAAAAAGACATAAGAAGAATAAAATTAAGGAGACAAAATTGTCATTATTTGTAGATCCGATTATCTACATACAAATTCAATGAAATCAAGACAAGCTGTAAGAATCTAGGAGATCAGCAGACATGATAAACAATTTCAACTTCACAAAAACAAGAGCCATGTGTCTACACTAATACTTACCAATCACTGTAAGTACCAATTACAAAATATTGTTAAAACAAGTTATAGATCACAATAAGAAAAAGGATAACATTTTAAAAAATTAACCTAAACAATACATGAGACTTTTATGACAAAAATTTAAATTTGTTAAGGGAAACAAAGAGAAACTTGAAAGAACTGAAACATTTGACATTGTACAAATGAAAGCTATTTCCAAATTAATTTATTATATTAAATACAATGCTACTGAAATTTAAGCAAGCTTTTTAAAGAAACCACAAACATTTTAAAGTCACTATGGAAGTACAAATTTTGTGAATAAACAAAGTGAGGGGAAAAATCAAAGAACAAAGTTTCATTCCACGAGATTTTATGAATAATACAAGTAAACAAGAAACACATATGAGTAGAATAGAAATGAAAGGCATACTACTTTCCATATTGGCTGCACCAATTTGCAGTCCCACCAGCAGTGTATGAGTATACATTTTTCCCCACATCCTCGCCAACACTTATTGTTGTTTGTCTGCATAATAGCTGCCATTCTGACTGGAGTGAGAAGCAAGATATCTTAGAGTAGTTTTGATTTGCATTTCTCTGATTGCTAGAGATGATGTGCATTTTTTCATATATTTGCTGATTGATTGTATATCCTCATCTGAGATGTGTCCGATCCGGTCCTTGGCCCATTTGTTGATTGGGTTGTTTTTTCAGTGCTTAGCTTTTTAAGTTCTTTATATACCTTTTCTCTGATATAAGGAGGGTGACTCATAGTGGGGTAGGGATAGGGAGCATGGGAGAAACAGATGAATTATATATAGGGAAGAGGGGTAGGAGGGGAAGGGAGAAGGCAAGGAATTAGCAAGGATGGTGGAATGTGATGGACATTATTATCCAAAGTACATGTATGAAGACACAAATTGGGTGTCAGCCTACTTTATATACAAATAGAGATATGAAAAATTGTGCACATATGTGTAATAAGAATTGTAATGCAAAACAAAGTACATGTATAAAGACATGAATTGGCATGAATACACTTTTTATACAAAGATGAAAAATTGTGCTTTATAGGTGTAATAAGAATTGTAATGCATTCCACTGTCATGTATTTTAAAAAAAATAAAATCAACTAAATAAAAAAGAAAGAAAGAGATGAAAGGCATAAATTACTCCTATGAACCCATGCGTCATTTGCAGGAGGTGGCTACACAAACCATTAGAGAAAGCATGACTTGTTTAATTGATGAAGTTAAAATGGCCTAGTATATGGAATGGAGATAAAGTTGGATCCCTACCTTGCACTATGTAGAATCATATTTGTGTTTGTGCATGTAAACTCTTGAAGGACAGAGGATGTTTAATGTGTGTAGTAAATTTACAAGTTTAATATAATGAAATGTCATATAATGTTTTTTTGAACCTAGGGCAGGGAAAATTTCTTAAAAAAATACAAGAACCCAAAGACACAAAGCATAACATTTTAAAAGCTGCTGCAAATGCATCAAAATTAAGAATTTTAGTTACATAAAACACTTCATAGTCAAAATTAATAGGTCATAAGTACTAGAGCTGTTTGTAATATTGGGGGAAAAAAGGCTTCCTCTAAATCACAAAGAAAAAGATGAGAAACATGACTTTAGAAATAGGCAACTGATATAAACAGGCAATTCTTAACAGTAGAAAACTCCAAAACTATCACACACCTAGAGAGGTGCTTACCACCCTGGAGAGTAGAAAATCAGACTGGAAAAAAAAAAAAAAAAGTTTAACGCCATTACCTCACACACGTTAATACTTGGAAACCCCAAAAGTTGGACAACGCCTAATTTGCTGTGTGAGGGGCGGGTCAAAGCAAAAGCCACGCCTGGGTCCCGCCCCGCCAGGCCGCTCACGTGCCAGTGCCCCATCCAGGGACCCCAGCGCTCCCCGCCCACGCGACGATCTCTGTTTTTTTCCCAGGCCCTGTGCACGTGGCCTTGCCCTCTGTAAACCCAAGTCAGAGTGCTGTGGTTGAGACTGCAGTTCCAGAAGCCACTCGGGATGCTGGGGAACATGAATGGACGAGCCCGCGTGAGGGCTCGAGGCATCACTCACGGACCGAGTGCCACCGAGGTGGGGCAGGCACCGGCCTCGCCACTGGTATGTAGAAACCAGGGCTGGCCTCGTTTCTCTCTCTCCTGGCTGACTCTAGCTGGACAGTGGTTTCCTCTTGTGTTTATCTTATCTGGGTTACAGCTTTTCCTCTTCACTTTGAGCCTTTCTGTGGTTTCTCACAATTTTTATTTTAAGGGGTCTTACCTAAGAATGATACTAATGTAGGTTCATTAGCTATGAAAAGGAGGCAAGAGTGTCAGTGCTGTCTACTTTCTAGATCTTAATTACTTGATTTGTTTTTAAATTGCCTGGAAAAAACTGATATACACTCAGACCACTGCATGGCATATCATTTAATACAATTGCCAATTGGTATATAAAATAAGTAATCTCAAGTGCAAGTGTGGTTTAGATTCAGCTACTGTTGCTTGGGCCTTCACTTCTAGTAGGAATCCTTGGCTGGACTTAGACAACTAGATGGAATTGACCTACAGTTAAACAACTTTTGAGTGATGTTAATGACTGTGTGTTAGTATTAGAAGCAACGTTTTTGACTTAGGCCAAAAGTACTCAATTGAGTACTCAATTAGGCCAAAAGTACTCAATTGAGTAATCTGTGGTTATTACACCTTTATTTTCATGAAGTGATCTCCTTGTTACTTTCCTCAGTTTTTAGTAGGCCAAGATCTAGTAACTTATGGAACAAAGAGAAGTAGTTTCTGTGATAAAGGAAAATGTTAGTGTTCTCTCCCTAATTGTTTTGAGAACTAATTTGGGGCCACTTACTTAGAGGGAGTCACCCTCTGGGCTGGTGCATCATGTCCTCTGAGCTCAATATATTTTCATGCCCATGGACCATGTCAGCTTGCAGCCTGTGCATGTCTGTGCCATGTTCCTTCTGAATAGCTTCCTGAGTGGAAAGATCACATCTCTGCTTCTTTATACCTCCACGGTCTTATGCTGTCCCTGGTATTAAAATAAGTTTGATGAGCAGGGAAAACTGACACTCATCCTATCCTTTGTCTACAATGGGCACTCTCTTCTTATCTCTCAAGGGATTTACCTGTTAACATTTTTGTTTTTCCTAGATCATGCTAATCTAATGCCTTATGACATGATACTGTTCTTATTTTGTGAAACCTTTGGTTTGTGACTTAAATCTGAAAAAAAATGTTTTTGCCCACATAGCCCACACCAGCTGATTTTAGAGACAATGACGTGGCCTCTAGCAGCGGCTTCCTGGGACCAAGCAGGATTCCACAGCAAGGTAGGTACAACTTAGTTTGTTCCACTTAGTTCCAGGCAACTCACATGAAAGAAGACTGACTCCACCAGGCCTCATAGCAGCAGGCTGGCTTCTTGAGCATCCTGTTCTTCTTTTCTTGAGTGATTCCCTTATCAGATTCCTTTGGGACTCCCTAAGGCAGAGTCTGCTGCTAAATTTTCTGAAAGTGCTTGGTAGATGAGAATCCACAGACACGAAGAAGCCAGTTTTCTGATTCTTTCTGTTCATAGAAGAATTTTGAAAAAAATATTATAAAAATTCTTATGGTATATAGAGGCTGAGAATATGTCTCAGTGGTAGAGCACCTGCCTAGAATGTCCAAGGCCCTGGGTTCAGTCCCCAGCATGCCCCTGCCTCCCCTTACACAAAATCCTATGGTTTATAAATGCCAATGCTGTCACCTTACAGAGATGGTAGAAAGTCAGTAGTATGCCTCCCATGGTTGGCCTCCTCCCTCCCCACCTGTGTTAGATGTCACTGCTTGGTGGTAGTTGTCTTCTCTGCAAAGTCAGATGTGGTCTCAGTATACTTGTCCACATGCTACTCCAAGTAGCCACACAGTGCCAGTTGGTGTGCCTGATGTGTTAGTTTGTTTGGGCTGCTATAACAAAGTCACACAGATTAATTAGCTTTAACAACAGAAATTTATTTTTTCATAATTCTGGAGGTTTGACATTTGAGATAAAGGTGTTGGCACAGTTGGTTTCTTCTCAGGCCTCTCTCCTTGACTTGTAGATGACCACCTTCCTAGACTCACATGTTTCCTCTCTGCATTTCTGTATCCTAATTTTTTCTCTTATGACATCAGTCATTATTGGACCTTAATGACCTCACTTTAATTTGACCCTCTCTTTAAAAATCCTATCCCCAAATACAGTCACATCCTGAAGTACTGGGGATTAGAACTTCAGCATATAAATCTGGTGGGGGACACAGTTCAGCCCATAACCCAGTGCAAACCTGTTAGCCATCTCCTTTGTTCTGACCACAGAGTGAAGTGATAGATTTCTAACAAATGTGTAAGTCTAGGTTCCCCCACACTCTTGAGAGTCTGGTCCCTCATTCATTTCCTGACTGGCTCTCTAGCTCTTGGTTGAGTTTTCCAGTGCTGCTCAGTATCCCCTGTGTGATCTGAACTCACACAACTGAATAGTGCTGCAGGAGCCCAGAAGGCCTGCCCAGAGTGGCAGTGCAGTAGGCCCAGCATACCACCACTGTTCAAATAGTGCGCCAACCTGGGATTTTTTGTCCACATCTGCTGCCCATTTTTCTGAATAGCAAGTCATGAAAACCCTTAATCCTTTGAGAGCATATTGAATTTTTGTTTATTTAAATTGTAGTAAAATACATATAACATAATATTTACCATTTTACCTACTTTTAAATGAACAGTTGAGGATACTGAGTCTGTTGGTATTGCTGTGCAGTCATCCTCATCATTCATCTCTAGAAAATTTTTTTTCATTTTGCAAAATTGAAACTCTGTACACATTAAACAATAAATCCCCAAACCTCTTTTCCCCTAGCCCCTGAAACCCACCATTCCATGGTACCTTGATGTTTTAGAAACGGTTCAACATCTTGTGAAGCTAAGATCAATGAATGATATGGATAATCTAGTGAGGGTAATAGATATTTAAAAAAATTAAATGAACTTTGTGATTCTCCTGAGGGACTCAGACTGCACTGAGGAAGGTGTGGACAGCAGTTTTGAGCTGGTGGCAGTGCCATTTGGGAGAACTGCATACAGTGAGAATATCATAGGGTGGGTCAAGTCAGAGTCCTAAGGACTATCAATCCTGTTACTTTTCAGTGATAACGTGTATTTTTGATGTTTTATTTTATTTGTTTTTATATGGTGCTAAGGATTGAACCTACTGCCTCACACCTGCTAGGCAAGTGCTCTGCCACTGAGCTACAGCCCCAGCCCGACAATTTTGATATTTTAAAGTCATCTCCAGAATTCCCAAGGCACATCCAAAAAGTCAGCACCTTTTGTACTCAAACAGTATTCATTTCAAAACAGATTTTAATTTCATATTTTCTAGAAACTGATTATGATAGGCTCCAAGGTAAAACATGGCTTTCATTCTCTTGAGGAATGATCTACAATAAAGTCAAATTGCAGTGTTCTGGGAAGTTTCTCTTCTTTTCACTGGGAAAGGTGAGAGGCTCAGCCCTTTCTGTGCAGAAGTTGGTGTGGGCAGTCCTAGCCTGTAGCTCTGCAGGGTGTTACCCAGGAGCTAAAGGAGAGCTGCCATCTTCAAATAAGTGTGGGATAGGGCATAAGGAGATAAAGTTTTCTCCTTAGTCAGAGAGGAAGTCTACAATATTATAAGTGCTAGTACTAACTCAGTGCCTCTTATTTCTAAAAAAATATTTCATGCTTTCTTTTCAGATTTTAACTTTTAGGCTAAAGGCTTCTGTATAGTCATGCATGTTTTCAGCAATGTGGGCAAGTTTTGTTAAAAACCACAAACATCTGAGTTTTGAATGTGGATGCATTTTTGATATAGTAAACCTAGTATCATTAGAATGAAATATATTACTGTGTTCTCTACATTTTTTAGATAATAATGGTTTACCTCATGGTGATGTTGAAAGTACCTTTGTGAAAAGAAATGTGAAAATGAGACAGAACTTCATGGATCTGGGCATCTGTACCAGAGAGAAATTGGCACATGTGAAAGATTGTAAAACAGGTACCCAGTCTTTATGAAGCTTACTTGTACAAATATTACCAAATCTTGCTTAAGGAATTTCTATCCCTTGACCTAAAATAAATAAGTTCATATACTCAATAGATACTAACTGAACGTTTGCTGTGTTCAAGGCAAGTCTAGAGGCTTTACAATATTTAGCCTTAATTTTGTTTAGTTAATAGAAATGATATTTTCCACAACAACAGATCTCATTTTGGGAAAAGATATTCTCCTGATTCTTGAGTTGTGGCTGAAAATGATGCTTCTTCTTTTTCTTAACCCTTTTCCAGTATGGGGAATAATAGTGTTTTGGACTTAAGCCAATGTGGGCTATTTTTTTTTACCCAGATTCCAGGCTCCCCCTGAAATTGCACACACAATTGTGGGCATATATGCTTTCTGGGAAATAGGTCTGTTATATTCATTGGATTCTCAAATAGTTTTGTGGCTTCTTCCTTACTGATGCAGATCAATGTTTTTCAAACTTTTGTATAAAACCAAGGTAGCTAATGGAGAAATAAATGTGTTATTACCCAGCAAACACACAAAACACACATAGTGGAAGCAAAACTTTCATGAAATAGTGCTTATCCCTACTTCACACCAGGCACTCTGGTTCATTCTATTAAATTCTGGTCTTTTTTCTCTTTTTTTGGTATTTTATTTAGAAATAGGATCTTACTGAGTTGCTTAGCACCTCACTTTTGCTGAGGCTGGCATTAAACTTGCAATCCTCCTGCCTCAGCCTCCTGAGCTGCTGGGATTACAGGTGTGTGCCACCATGCCTGGCAAATTTATCTTTTCATTGAACATATTATCTACTTCACGTTTTATAACTGTAGCACTAATAGGGCCAGCTGCTATCTGTAAACACTGGTGTATATGATCTCAAAGGTCTCCCAGCTCTGACATTCTAGTTTGACATCTCTTTAGTCCATTTATATGAGCAGCTAAAATATGTTGTCATTTCCTCAGGATCTGGGTGAACAAAAGAAAGCCTTCCTTACCTAGAATAGCATAATGACTCCTTGCTACCACCAGTTATATACCGCAGAATGAGGAAATGCTAAGGCACACATGACAACTTTTCTTCCTCACCACTTTGGGGCTCATGTTTCCACTTTCTCTATGAGAAAGGCAAAATAGTGCCTATTTGATATTGTTCTTTTCTAAAAGACAAACACTGGGTGATTCCCTATAAGGAGCTGAGAAGAAACTCCTTAGTATCCTCTTAGATTCTGTCCTGGGGAAATATAAGTCAGCCTGAGCATTAACTGTGCCCTTCCCATCCCTGATTTTGTCCTATAGACATTTCAGATGTGAATAAAAATTCCTATAGGGGAATGACATTCCTGGAAGCACACATGGCTTCCATGTGTCTGCAGAACCCCACCCCCCTCAGATCCTGTCTGTTTTTGGACAGGAAAGGTACAGTTCCTTCCTCTCTTCCAACACTCCCCTCCCTCTCTAAGGCTCTTCTTTGGGACTTGAACAGCAGTCTAACCATTAATGGAATTTTTCCAGGATTTTTAGGAGTATTGTTAACTTTTGATCATCTGGTTTCCCGGAGGTTGGGGGTTGTAGTCATGCTCAGAACCAGACAGTTTCTTTGAAAATGAGAGCAGCATAATTGCAGAGCAGCATATGAGAATATTACTCCAGTCGATTTGAATTGCAGAGAATAAGAGCTGGAAGGCAGGCGGAAGGAAGGTGGGGTAGTTAAATTCAGATGCTTCTCTTCTCTCAAGTCATGAATGTCATTGTCTGCTCCTGACTTCCTCTGAGGCCGGCTTCACACACCATCCACTCTAAATTCCAACACAGTTATTAGGCTGCAAGTTTTAGAGCTTATCTTTTGTCATCAAACAAAATCCTTGCTTTATGCAACTACTGTGCACATGCAAACTAATTTTCAGATGATGTGATTAATGTTAACAGTGATTTTTTTTTTTTTTTTGGTGAAAGAATTGTTTTTTGTCTTCCCTAGGTTCCAGTGGAATACCTGTGATGTTGGTTACAAATCTCTTTAATTTAGATTTGCCCCAGGACTGGCAGCTATACCAGTACCATGTGACATATATTCCAGAATTAGAATCTAGAAAGCTCAGGATTGCTTTGCTTTATAGTCAAAGCATACTTTCCAACAAAGCAAAAGCGTTCGATGGTACTGTCCTTTTCCTCTCACAAAAGCTAGAAGAAAAGGTATAGTATGGTTATTTTTGTGATGATCTATGTGTGTTTACACGTGCATATATGTACCTAGTTTCCTGTTCCCTTGCTTGAGAGCAAAAAAGATTTACTAGTAAAAATGTCATTGGTAACTGAATTTTCAATTAAGAAGCTGGTGATGTGGCATCTTAAAAAATAAGAACTCTTGGGCTGGGGATGTGGCTCAAGTGGTAGCGCGCTCATCTGGCATGCGTGGGCGCTGGGTTTGATCCTCAGCACCACATAAAATAAAATAAAGATGTTGTGTTCACCGAAAACTAAAAATAAATATAAAATTTTTTTTCTCTCTCTTCTCTTCTAAAAAAAAAAAAAAAGAACTCTAAGTGTCCTTGAAATAGGCATCCTTTGAAGAACTTTTCCCAAAACAAGCAAGATTTTAAGAAACACCAGCTAGCCTGTGGCTTCAGAGCTTTAAATTTATTGTTCTTGCTTTCATTCCTGCACAGTTGTGCCTGTGTACCCAAATAATTTCACATCAGTCTTTGAATCTAACACTATCAATTCTTTTCTGACTTGCTCCATCATACAAAATGTGAGTTATTGCTTTCAATTCTTAGTATTTAAAAAATGTGACCACTGAAAATGGCAGTTGAATATTTCATATTTTTTCTCCATTTTTTAACACTTTCAATCCTAAAAGAAAGATATTGACTTTTAATCATATGCTTTGTTCTAAAATGATATTTAAAAATTCCTACCAAAAAACCCAGTTTTTCATATGTAGAGATAAAACAGAACACGGAATTAAAGCTTTATACTGCTGGGCCTAGCAAAGTTTAATCCTTTAGTTCAATTTTTTGAGCATATGGGGCTAATAGCATACATTGAAACTTCTAGCCAATAAGCAAATCTGTGAGTTTCCTTAAGAAATGCACTTCTGAGATTCTTGGGTTCTTTACCCTTTTATGAGATCCTGAGATTTGTAGGAGTTACTTGAGTAATTATTTTGTCTGGAGGTGGGACTTTAAAATTATATCATACGGTTACTTTTTTCTTTTTTTTTTTTTTTTGGTGGTACTGGGGATTGAACCCAGGCCTTGTGCATGCTAGGCAAGCACTTTACCAGCTGAGCTTTATCCCCAGCCCCCTATACCACACAGTTAAATCTAGTAGTTTAAGAAGTCTGGATCTGTAAATTCGGAAACATTATTACTCCCCATAAGTCCTTATTGTTTGGTTCCTTCAATACTTTGTTCTATGAGCAGATGTTGTTAGCATGCTAATACAGTTTCTCATAATTAAATTTTATACCTCATGTGTATTATTATTAAAGATCATCTTGCTCTCATAGATTCATTTTAGCAATAGCTTAGAGTTTTAGGTATGTTAACATTATTTTATAGGAACCATGAATGATCTGGCTTGCTTTAATTGTACCTAACCAAAATGGACAAATTTTGCTCTGCAGGTGCTAGGATTAAGTTAGTGCTGCTCATTTTTCATTCAAAATGAGCATGTGATATGAGTCAAACACATTTCTGTTGGTGGGGGTGGAGTCTAAGGAGGAGGCCAGTGGCAAAACAGAAGATTAAATACATAATGTGTGACAAATCAGGCCTGTTTGTTTCATATCCAGACCCAGGTGATGCCAGGTTTAACAGTGTGTCGAGTGTCCTCTTGTTCCTTATCAACATATGATTTGCCACCCAGTGACAGTGAAAAGGGTCCCAACAATGAAGCTGTGATTCTCACTTCTTTTCCTGGTCCTACTATCGATTTAGGCTTAACCCTGCATCTCTGCCACTCCTCACACATTTCCTAGTATGTAGTGTCATTGAAGAGCCCCTCCACAAATTCACTCTCTGCATCCCCATATGGTGTAGTTTTCTCAAAGTCCTGCTCAGCTGCCATCTGGCCTTTCTGTGTTCTCCAGACCCACACTGTGCACCTACAGCCACGACTGATGGGGTTGCTATCATGTCATATCTGCTTGCCACTCTCATACATTTATGAAGTGCCTACTTTGTGTTTGGTAGTATTATCATTGATTTCTCAAAAATTTCTAAGTTATTACTAAAGTTACAAATAAATACAGTGCATGGAAGAATAAGTTTCTAAGTACTAATTAATATTTTGATTATGCTAACATTTACTAAGTGTTAAGTACTATGCTTGGTTGTTTTTAGATAAGCTCCAGCACTCCTCTCTTGAGATGAGCAGATCTATACCTTATTCTCAATCAGCAGCTGCTACCCCACTCCTGCTATTATGCCGACCAGACTTCATTGAAATTGTGGACTGTTCACTCTTAGTAACATGATTTCATTTAATCCTCTCAACAATTCTGGAGCCTGAGAGGTTCAGTATCTTGCCCCAAGGTTGATGTACAGAGCTTGATGAAAGGCAAGCTCACTCCTCGTAGGATACTTTAGTGAGAGTTATTTAGATTCTTTGATAGGGTTTGGATCATTGATGTGGACAATGAGGAAGGGCATTCCTAGTGAAAAGGGGCAAAGACGCAGTGATAGGAAGGAACGGTCATATTTTAGAATATGATAAGACCTGCGCATTATCCTATTTAGTCTTTACAACCCTGTGACATAAGTTAGGCTTACTCCTGCTTAAGAGATGAGAAAAGTTCTTAAACAGTTGCTTACTCCAGGTTCACACAAGCTATAAGAGGCAGTGAATTATGGTATTTCCGTTTCCACATCATGTGCACTTCAGCTCTGTGGTTAATAGTGGTATTGACACAGCTGAAATAGATTAGAGACTTGCTGGCGTAGATGCACTAAGCCTGGCCAATTGATTAGGTGGTGGATGGAGGAGGAGGATAAAAGTTCATTCTGAGGTTAGCAGTCTGGGGACTGGAGGGTGTGGGTCCAGTAACAGATGTAGGAAGTGAAGGAGCAGTTGGTGTTTGGTGAGGGAGGGGCCAAGGGGGCTGAGGAGTTGGATCTTAAGTGGCTGCTGGGAATTGCAGTTCCTGAGACCATCTGCTGCCACCTCCCCTTAACTCCTCACCTCCACATCCTTTGTTGTCTGTAATCCTTTGTCCTGAAGTCCCTGCAGTGTTTTGAGAACTGCACACTCCTCCTGCCTACCAGACTTTTCCTGATATTGATGAGCGCTTCCTGCAGCTGTTCTGATCTCTGTACAATTTTATGTGAGGCAAGAAATCATCTCAATGAAATATGCCATCCCCTGGGAAAGGTCCATTTCTCTTTGCTTCCAGACCTTCATTTAACCTAAAATTGGTTAAACTACACTGTAACTGTAGAAAAGGGCATTTATATAGAAATATGTAAGTGTTTGCTAATTAGCTGACGTCTAATTCATTGCCCTTTTCAAAAATCCCTGAAGGCTGATTGATGTTTAATGACTGATTTGTGAATTCTTTTATTTCATAAGCCTGCACAGAGTCCTGTCTGGTTGAAGTAACTTTCGGTTTAGTTGGGGAGCTGTGATAGAAATCTAGTCAGGCATTCATCACATTGCTATAACACCATTTCAGGCTACATAAGATCTCAGGGGATTTCTCCAGACCTGCCACAATTTTTAAAATCAGATTTTCTATCTGTTCTGACTTCCACCACTTTCTCTCCTGCCCTCAGCCTTACTTTCCCTATTGTCTTCCCATGTCTGCTTTGCTTTCTTTTGTTTGGTTTTTTTTTTTTTTTTTTTTTTTTAAACTCGTGAGAGACTGTGTTCTGGAATCTATGAACTTGGGAGAGGCAAGGCAGTCCACTAATAGGCTGCTTCTGGGCATACACGAACCCTCCC